GCATTAGATTTTAATGAAGCTTTATAGATATCTATTAATGCATGAGATATTGAAATGTGAGAAATGAATAGATAGCTCTTTAAACTTTACCACAAAATTAATATCTTCCTCAATTGACCTATCTCTTTCTGCTTATCCCCTTGTATTTCTGAATATTTGGAACTTTTAACCCTTGTCTGAAACTGATAATTTATAATTTACTCCTTACTCAGAATCCCTCTATTGGTAGTATATTACTGCCTGAACCACTAGTATTTATGGTTCCTCAACATGCAGATAAATACTTGAAATTTGTTTCATGCTTTTTAAAACTGAGTGTAACCCTGAGATTTTCAACTAAGGAATATATTTTTCTATTATTATGTTTATGCCCAAGAAAAGTGGCTGATGAATATCTTGAAGTTATTTTTTTAATTTTTAGTGATAGCAAAAAAATAGAAATTCCATAAAATAAATGGCATTGTGAATATCTTTATTAAATTCCTAAAATAAAATGTGTTTACAAATTCTACAAAATTATATCAATTAAAGACATTATTTTACAAGGACATTTTATTAAATGCAATCCACATACTAAATTCTCTTTAAAACTATGATGCATGCATTTTTTAAAAAAAATTGATATATTAGATCTAGATAATACCATTGCAAAATTTCAAGAGCCTAAAAATCTTTGCCTTTTTTTTTTCTAAAAGTTGCCAAGTTGCTAAGTACATTTGTATCCTCTGCTGTAGTCTGGAACTTTTTATTCACACAGATGCTTTTTTTGTTGTAATGTAACTTCCTTTGATTAAAAATTCATTCCGATGCTACAATACTATTTGTTCTCGTTTACCACAGCATTTACAAAGTTAATGAAATTCATATAAGAATTGAGGGTCACAGGGAAAACTATCACATAGTGTAATAAATTTGGCAAAACAAATGCTCTTTGCTTGTGACCAAATAATCGTAGTTAGGTTTTCAGATCTGCAAATTAAGAGACCCTGCAAAGAATGAGGCAGGGGGAGTAGCCTTGCAAAAGTGAGTCCACTGATTAAATCTCACAGACACCAACATGTGTTCAGTGTTGGTCCATTGATTCAGAAATAGTGTGACCTTTGGAGTACCACAGCAAGGGCTATGGTGCAACAAAATTAAAAAGAATAATTGCCTGAAACTGTGTGAAAACCACCCCACCCCATGAGCATTAGAACCAGAAGGTACTTGGACAGGACTAATAAAATGAGTGTAACCCCAGGAAGCACATGTGCGAACATCATAACTGAAACATGTGTGATTTACCTTCCCAAACCCACTCAAAGAGCACTGTACTAAACTTGGGTGTGTGTGATTTGTACTCACTTCTGTGACAAGCAAAAGAAAGGGGAGGGAGGGAAAAAATTGGTCATATGATGACTAATTCTACTTTTTGTGTAGTAACAAGAAGTGAAAGGTCACCATGTTAACTTCTTGAATAGGAGGTAAATCTATATTGGCTTGCATTCTTAGTTTGAAGTTCCTAATAGGTGGCAGAAAATGAAAACATTCTTTCCCAGCACTCCCCCTTTTATTTGTCTTGAGACTAAGAAAATTAGTGAGTAAATTTTGGGGTTGGATTGGAAAGAAGCTTCAGAGAGAGAGAATAGATAACTAGATATATGCATATGCATGTGAACATATATTGATAAATGCATAAGTTGTTTCTCTGAGTGAACTCTAAAACCTAATTTCAGACAAAACTGAGCTCACTTTTCTTGTTGCTTTAATTCGCTGAGAATGAGATTTATTTTCATGGAATATGGGAAATTCTGTTAATTCATTAACACAGTTCAAGAAAAACCGTGTTATTAATTATTTTTAATTATTTCAGAAAACCAAAATTTTAAGAATTCTTTTTCTGAATTTTTTGGTGGGTTTTGCAACTGGTACTCTAATCATATATATGTACATACATTTTTGAAGACATTGTTGGTATTTTTCTGTCCAATGGTGTAAAGGGCGGTGGAAATTTTGTGGCAAGTAGTTATTAAAATTCTAATCTCAATATACACACATAAATACCTGTGTGTATATATTATACACATATACATATAGGTGTATATGTATGCATTCAATAAAAACTCAGAAGTAGAGTAACTGCATTCCATGTTGAAAGTTCTAGGTCTGATCCTAGCACCACAAAATTAATTAATTAAATTAATAACAAAATAATTATTACTTACTAGTAATGAAAAATAAGTCACTGGGTAACAAATTCTTAATTGTTATGGGTTAAAAATAATGTTGAATTATTGTCTCTATTTACACTGGATAACTGCGTAAGAAAAATTAGTAAGATTAGGATTTTAAATTCTCAGCTTATGGAAAATTAATGTTTCTATGAGTGCTTTGAAAGGAGTACTGATCTATAATTGTAAGACCAACATTTCTGAAAAAATTGGACTCAGTGTTAAATTTGCAGATGACTGAGTATTAATATAAATTTTCCCTCAGTGTGTCAGGGTTGCTTTTGGTTGAAACATTCATGGTAGTACTTTGGTACTAGGCCATTCAGGATGCTTGGGCTTAGATGTGCTCAGGATACATCAGAGCTATACTAACAGTATTCAAAGAGGCATATTATGTCAGACTTTGAACCTAAGACCTTGCTCATACTTTGTCAGTTGAGTTACAACCCTAGCTTTATAAATATGTGTGCCAATGGATATTAAGAGAGGATTTTTATGGAAATAGGAAATAAGGAAGTTGAATTATGATTAATTGTTTTAGTTTGAGAAATAGTCTAATTAAATTTGAGAAATAGTTTTTTTTTCTTAATTGACTAAATACAAATCCAATAAGTATTTCCTATAGTAATATAGCAAATTTTCCAGGACTATTTTGGTTAGTTGTAGATAAAGATCCAAAGACTGAAGGATTCAGAAACTAGAGAGACTATTTCACTTAAGCATCCAGAGACAAAAACTTCATCACATCTGCACAACCAAAATTTGGGGGCTCAGCATTTTTCAAGAGCATAGTGTTTATTCTTTGCTGTGGATCAGGAAATATAGTGTGAACTGCTGCCAGTAAATGAAAAAGTAATAACAGGATCCTAAGGTAGAAAGGGCCATGTTTTAGCACTTAATTATCAAAGACAAGATGATTATAGTTACTGTTATTGATAGAGGGCCAAAAGCATTAATCAGAATATTGACTCACAGAGATACTTGGTGTTAACTAATTTGTTTATGGAGTCATTAAAATGAAAGAGATGGACAGAAAACTAAGTGTTATCTGATCTGTAAAACAGAAAAACTCCAGGTTTAGCGAACAAAAGTCTGACTTGAGTAGTTAAAATAGAACAATGAGCTCTTATATATTTAATCCCCATACATGATCGAGTTGATAGACTTAGAGTTCCTTGAATGAATGGAATGCCCGATGCTCTTGAGTAGACTCTTGTACACTGCAAAAGATGTTTACTATTAATTTCCTCCTTACCTTTGCAGTATTACCTGGGGTTTTCCTTTTGTTTACAAGGATAACTTTAAATGAAGAAAAATCAGACATTTTAGAAAACCACAAAGTGTTGGATAAGAAATTAAACTACACCCTGTAGATCTAAATGATTCTTCCTCACTAGTCAGACTAGAAATAAGATTATAAAGGAATTTTATGTTTAATTAATTCTGCAATGTACCCTGTTGGTCTCTTAGTTAATTATGTGACTATTTCTCCAATTTAAGATGCATAATTTAAATACACGTATCCAGCATTTGGTAGAAACTTTAGGAGTCTTGAACTTGTGAAGAAAGAGCTAATGAGTTACTATGGTAGAAAAGGCCAAATAAATAAATACAGTACACCAAGAAACAATATCTAATTTTTGGAGGTATCACAAACTAAAACACCATCAGAACTTGGGAATTAGAGCTGAAAATTTCTACTGCAAAAAGAAAGACACTTTCTTAAAAGTGTTAAGGGCAAATTTTATTCAGTGACATTGCATACTCTTAGAGAATTCAGTGTTAGTAGAGTTCAACTTCACGGAAACCAAAGGCAGAAAATGATACGTTTTAAATATATTTATTTTAATTTACCCTTATTGGTGCATGGCAGTGCTGGAGGAACTTTGTGGTAAAAAAATGAAACTCAGAAGTTCACACATAAAAGGCACTGGCCCTACCTCTTAACTCATATCTCTGGCCTATGCAGGAGAATATTTTTTTAAGACACTGGGCTATGATAAAGGAAAGGCACTAAAGGTCATTAAAGGGAAGTTTGATATCTCTGTTAAGAATTTTGTATTTCCTAATAGGTGATTATCCAGAATAGAAACTAATCTTTTGTTTTTTGTTTTGTTTTCTATGCTTCATTTTTGTCACACCTGATTGTGCTCAAGGTTTGCTCCAAGCTCTGCCTGGGCTTAGAGGTTACTCATGGCAGTGCAGGGGATCCAATTTGACTCTCCATGTTCAAGGAAAATGCTCGATTCATTGCACTATTTCTCTAGTCTTGCTTTTTAAATTTTTATGAGAAGGGGTGGAATAGAAATCCACAATATAAAATTTGGGTTATTCCACTCCCACACAAAACAGTAGGCGAAATTAAGGGTTATACATCCTAACATTTGCATTTCAAAGATAGAGGCCTACAATTCTTGAAGTGCCAGCTTTGAATGGTTAAAGATTAAAATCCCAAAGTGACTAAGAAAATGATTCACTAGGGCAAGTTTTCTTAAGTAACTGCTGTAGCAGGGGTTCAGTTGTTGCCTCTCAGACTGTGGTGATGGTTTGACTGTTAAACAAGCAGCAACTTCATCTGCAAGTGCTACACTTTCACTTGGAATGGAGAGTTGCAAGAATTGGAGGGTTATAATCTTAAGGAAGAAACTTAACTACTCTAAGACATGCTAGAGTTTGCTGAAGACCCAGTAAGGTGTTACATTGCAGTCATTATGTGTTGAGAGGACTTTTTGTTTTGTATTTATTCAAACTGCCATTTGCCATTTTCCCTTCTATCAGATCAATTTTTTTTTGAGAGCACAAACACAGATCCCCACTACCACAAATTAAGCAGTTGAGTTTTCCACATTTAGGGAAATCACATGGGTCAACACATTTAAAGTGCAATGGATAATAAGCGTCACCCTGGGTAAAGTACCTTTATGATCATGGTATCTCCCCAGTCAGGTAAGTATTCTATCAATAACTTTTAAAACGGTAGACAAATCATGCAAAATGTCACTGCATTATCATAAAGTTGATTTCAGTGCACATTCCTATTATAGTTGCTACATGTTATGAGATTGTTGGAAAAGAAAAAAAACACATTCCATAATACTGAGTATAAATTTCATAATTTGGTAAAAGTTTTTTATTTGCTTAGATAAACTTTTATTTTGTACTAACAAACAACTAAGAGTTCAGAAACTAATGAAACAAATCTGGTAATCTTAAAGTTTTAGAGGTCAGAAGTTTAAATGAATTCTTCTTGGACTAAAGTCAAGGTGGTGGAAGGACTTATTTCTTCCGGAGACTTAGAAGAATGAAATGGGATAATATAGGTGCTTTATTTTATTTTATTTTTGTTTCTAAAATCTGCCTGCTGATCTTGTCATTTGGCCCCTTCCTCCATATTCAAAGTGGATCACTTCCATTTCTGTTTCTAACAATTGATCTGCTTCTTTATGATACCTTTGAACCCATCTAATAAAAGCATTTATGGTAATTTGTAGATATTCAGAAAATTCTCCTGTTTAAAAAGTCTTTTTAGTTTAGTCTCTTTTGTCAAGTTCATTTTTCCATAGAAATCAACAATAATAACTTCTAGGGAGTACTATGTTAATATTGTTTTTTCTAAGATCATATCCTGTTGTGTAAATTTAGTCTTCCTCTCTCCCTCCCCTAAGGCTTCGGTGAATTGGCCCCATTCAGATAACAGACCACCTCAAGATCTTTAACTGAATTAGGTTCATCAATGTGCATTTTCTCCTATTAATGAAACATATTCACAGGTTACTGAAATTAACATATGAGCTTCCATTTTTGGGGGGAGGAGGCAATCCAGCACTGGACAGTGGTTACTACTTGCTCTGCACTCCTGCAGACATAGGGGGCCATATGAGATGCTAGGGATCAAACCCAGGTGAACCACATGCCTTATCCATTATACTATAACCCAGGCCCAAGATATTAGCATGTTTTGAAATATTTTTTCTTCCAAACAGCACTATCTCATAATTCTATCCTAAAATATATCTATTTCCCTTAGATTAAAAAAAATTCAGTTGTTTATTTGATCCTTGGAGACAGCTCCTACTTAGATTTGTGCTCTGGGATATACCTTGAAGTGGACTGTATTTCTGGGGACCAATTGTGCTCAATCACTTGAACTATTCCCCTCACCCCAGGTAAATGATTCTGTTGTTATTTTGCAGTCCTGAGTATTGAACCCAGATTGATGGCCTTAAAGTCAATAGAACAACACATTGCTCTATTGCATCGGTGATGTTATGCTGATTATAACTGGTGGATATCAATTAAGCATAGCTGATTTTGGTGTTAATACTATATGACTTAACATATTGAACAATGTTGAAAATATCAATTGTAGATAAAGCTGTTTCTGGAGACTTTGTCCATTCAAAATAAATGGATTCCTGTAAACAAAGATAGTTTTCTTTTTCCTTTTTGGGTCACACCCAGCAATGCTCAGGAGTTACTCTTGGCTCTGCACTCAGGAATCATTCCTGGTGGTGCTTGGGGGACCATAAGGGATGCCAGAGATTGAACCTGGATTCTTTGCATTCAAGGCAAACACCCTCCCCTCTGTGCTATGACTCCAGCCCCAAACAAAGATAGTTTTGAAGGAAGCTATTTTCATGAAATGCTTAAGAAACACATTTGTCTCATTGAATTTCAGAATGATTAATTTTTCTTTTCTATATTACTTTTCCCGACTTTTTTAAAAGAAATAGACACAATGTAATTGCACCTCTTCTCTCATGATGTATTGGATGAGTCAGGACTGCTGTCATGTTCCTTTAGTTTCACATGTCCTTAGAACAAGATAATCTGTATTCAGGAATTGTAATTAAGAAATTAAATACAGTGTTTCATTTTCAATCTGAGTGTGTTTTAGAACATTCTTCATTTTAAATAGTTTCTATGATGAGATGATATTTTTGTGGGATCTTTGAAAGGAACATATGCATTTTTGCATGTTGAAGAATGAATAGAGATTAGAGGTGTGAGATTCTCTAAAATGCCTGTTTCTTCTTTTCCTTGATGATTATCTTTCTTTGATACTTACTTTCTGCTCAAGTGTACACTGATTTAATGATTTTTTTTCTAATGAACAGAATAAGGTAGAAATGAGAGTTTATGTCAACATTGAGACTAGGTTATGCACTTTGTGGGAAATAGGTCTAACAAGCAGTGCTGTTCACTCCGGGAACATGAAGAGCCTCAAACCGATCGTTCATGATCTTCACGAAGAAGTCTGACCATCTGGTAGATGGGCGGCCATGCGGTATTTTGACATCCCGTGGAATCCAGTTGGTAACAGCACTAGTCCAGCGGTCATCTTTAAATCTCATTACGTGACCAGCCCATCTGATTTTCGACACCTTGGCAAATGAGACAGCGTCCCTGATCCTTGATCATCGACAGGTGTCAGAACTCCAGATTCTTTCTCTCATTTGAGTGAAACGTGATATTCCAAGCATAGCTTTTTCTATTCTTCTTTGGGAGACCTGAATAGTGTTCTCATCTTGTTTGCGTAGGGCCCAGGTCTCTGAGGCATATGTTAATGCAGGAAGAACAGTGGAATCAAAGAGATGTGCCTGGAGCCGGAGGTTCTTCGTCCTCTTAGCTATTTCTTAGATGTTCTTGAAGGTGTTCCAAGCGACTCTCTTCCTCCTGCGCAGCTCGGGTGCCAGGTCATTTGTCATGTTGACCTCTCGACCTAGGTACACATAGCTGTTGCATTCGGAGATGGTCCTTCTGTTGAGAGCGAATGGGGCGTCAGGAACGAGGCTGTTTCTCATAAACATTGTCTTCGTAAGATTCAGCTGTAATCCTACCTTTCCACACTCACGGTCAAAGTCGGCCAGCATTTGTGCCGCTTGGCTGTTGTTTGGTGTTATTAAAACAATGTCATCAGCAAAGCGGAGGTGGTGTAGTTGCCGACCATCTATCTTCACTCCCATTCCTTCCCATTCCAGTCGTCGCATGATGTTCTCGAGGGTGGCACTGAAGAGTTTCGGTGAAATGGTATCACCCTGCCGCACCCCTCTCTTGACATCAAGGATCACTTCTTTGTAGAATGGTGAGATCCTGGTAGTGAATCCGCAATACAGCTCATGGAGGATCCTGATGTATTGGGCTTGAATGCCCTGATTGGCTAGGGCTTCAATGACCGCTTCCGTCTCAACAGATTCAAAGCCCTTCTTTAAATCAATGAACGTTAAACAGAGCGGCATCCACTCAATGACTCTTTTGCAGACCACAACACCCAAAAGGAGAGAGAGAGAACACAGGGGATTGCCCTGCCACAGAGACAGGGAGGATGGGGGGATGGGGGTGGGAGGGATATTATCCATGGTGGTGGAAAATGGGCACTGGTGGAGGGATGGGTATCTGATCATTGTGTAATTGAAACCAAAGCACAAAAAATTGTAAATTTACAACTGTAAAAATAAATAAAATAAAATAAAGGGAAAAAAAAAAAACAGAGCGGCATCTTGAACTCCCGAGAAACCTCAATGAGCTTGGTTATCATGTAGATATGGTTGATGGTGCTGAATCCTTTGCGGAACCCGGCTTGCTTGCATGGTTGTCCTTCATCTAGTGTTCTGCCAATCCTATTTAGGATGACTCGAGTGAACAACTTGTAGATGACAGACAATAGGCAGATCGGGCGATAGTTGCCAATGTCATGGATGTCTCCCTTCTTGAACAGTAGTACAGTCCTGCTGGTTTTCCATTGGGAGGGAACCTTGCATTCATACAGGTAGGGAGTGAAGAGCTGAGCCAGTGTATTGATGAATACTGACTGCAGATTCTTCAGGTGTTCAGGTCTGACCTTGTCTGGGCCGGGTGCTGTTTGTTTTTTTACCAACGAAATGGCGTGTTGGATTTCGGAAGGGAGAACGTTGGGAACGACATATCCATCCTTTGGAAATTGGTATGTCGGCAAGTGGACATGGCTATTGAAGACATTTGAGTAGAAGTCATGGATAATCTTCTCCATTGCTGTTCTGGAGGATGTGATGGATCCATCAGGACGTCGGAGGGCAGTCATCTTGGTCTTGTAGTTGGCGAAGGACTGGCGGGCATTACGAATACTTTTCCTGGCTTCTGCCGCATCTGCCAGTACTTCTGCTCTTCTCTCTTTGAGGTCTTCCTTGATCGCATCTCTACACTGCTTTGTGAGCTCGGACATTAGCTTGCGGTTGCCTGAGGCATGCGCCAAACCACGCTGGCGAATTAGCTCAAGAGTTTTCGAAGATAGGTGATTTTTTGTGGCTATCTCTCTCTTGGCGTTCCTCACACATTCATGGAGGTGCTGAGCCAGTCGATCGTATTCCTCGTCAATGTTTTCAACAATGGCATCTTCCCATGTTGCCGCAATAGTACCAAAGAGTTCCCAGTTGGTGGTCATTCTGGGAGTTCTCTTTTTGAACTTTGCAGCCCTTTCTCCCCACTCTGTGAAGTAGAATTTTCCACGAAGGAGACAGTGGTCCGATCCCGTTCGAAATTTTTGGACAACAGCGACATCAGTCAGGCAAAACCGTCGATTGAATATGATGTGGTCTATTTCGTTGTGAAATCATCCACCGGGAGACTCCCACGTCCATCGTTTAGATTCTGCCTTCTGGAACTGTGAGCTACCATGAATGGTCTTGGTCGACATGATGAACTTAGACAGTCTCTCACCCTGTTTGTTCCATTCTAGGCCATGGGTCCCAATGTGAAGTTCTTCAGCTGATCTTCTTGGTCCTATCTTGGCATTAAAATCACCCACAATGATCTTGTAGAAGGTGTGGTCTTCTTTATAGAACTTCTCTAGCTCCATGTAGAACTTCTCAATTTCTCTTTCATCATAATGAGATGTTGGTGCGTAGACAACGAAGATAGAAACTGCAGGCAGTGAGCCACATCTTTTCAAATGTAAACGTCCGATTAGGGTTGTTAG